TGTGTTAATGTGATATCCATTTCTGCGAATAGTATTAAAACTCAACAAATTTCTTTGAGATTTGCTAGAATATAATATATTTTGGATTTCAAGTTTTAATCATTCGGGGATAAATATTATCGCTCTTCCGGAGCCCTGAATCGCTTTCGCAGAACTACCTATAGTGTTCACTTGAATTTTTCTCAACTTCATGTTGGTGAAATATTTCTTATATTTTTGAATGGTATGCGTTGATGCACAATATAAATCATAATTATAACTATTACTCCCTCCGTCCCACATAATTTGTCCCTATTTTCTATTTTCGTCCGTCCCGCATAACTTGTCATTTCTATTTTTGGAAATATAATTATGCACTTAACCGCATTTTACATTTTAAATTTTATAATTTTCTTAATTTTAATTAAACTATTTACTTAATCTTAATCTTAATCTATAATTATTTTTACTAAATAATAATTATTTTTACTAATACACTTCTTAATTATTTACTAATTATACTTTACCTAAATTCCCGCATCTACAGTAATAGTCCCATATTTACTGGGACGGAGGGAGTATATTATTACAAAATATGAGAGTAAAAATAATTATATATTATCTCATTGCATCTTAGGGTGTACAAAATATAAATTATTGAAAATTTCAAATATGTAACTTCAGGGTACACAATATACGATCTTAAGGGGTTTCACAACATACACAAAGTCATCAAAATTTTAAATATGTACCTTCAGGGTACGCAATATATAATATTGAGAGATTTCACAATATGCACAAAATCATCAAATTTTCAAATATGTACCTTCAGGGTACATAATATATAATATTGGGGGATTTCACAATATGCACCTTCACGGTGCTTAATATACATCTCATCAGAGTTTTTTAAAATATAAACTTTCAGGGTTCTCAATATACATCATAAGACATTTTCAAAATATGAACCTTCAGGTTCTCAATATACAAACCTTCCGGGTCATTAAAATATAAACCTTCAATATTCAGAACTACCAAAATATAAACATTCAGGGTTATCAAAATATGTACCTTATGAGTACATAAAAAAAATCACACATATCATTGTTTGCCAATAACAAAATTATCACCACCACTAGCATTATTTTCATATTTATTTACTAAATATTCGCATTTTCGGGTACAGTTTTTTGTATAATAGCTAGTAGGAAAATTAAAAATTTATATTAGTAATAATTGTATTGAAAAAGTTAATTGAATAAATACCTCAAAACTTTTGTAGAGCTTCCGCAGTTTTTAGATATCTTCTTGTTGTATTCGAGCAGAATTTCGAGATAATTTGTTTTTTTCGAATACACATTTCGCAACCTGTGTAAGTAACTTAAAAAATATATATAAAAAAACACGCTATTTTTACATTAATACTTTCTTGACAAAATCTCGTGCTGATAACGTGTTATAATATATATAACAAAATAAAATATAATATAACTATGTATATAGATGTACATGAATAAATAAATATTAAATATATAAGTATGTATAGACCGAATCTTCTGTCCCATTAACACTCCCTATCTTCCTATCCCTACATACACAGTGTGTATGCATAAATATTATGTGTGTGATGACAGAGAGATAAAATTTATCTTTAGGGTAGAAAATCCGATAAAAAATACGTAAAGTATATGTGTTAGTGTAATTGATTAATGGAGAGATAGAGTAGATCAAAGTAAATCCATCCAAATCTTATCCTAATATTTAGGTCTATTTATAGACTAATTTACAATAATTAGGCATCAAATTAGATGATTTAACGGAGAGAAATAACACTTATTATATATCACTAATGAGTCATAATATTTTCAATTTTAATATTTTTATTTTTTTTCTATCTATCCCACTTAATGATATAATTTTTTTTATTAAAGTAAAAAAATAATATATTAACATCAAAATATCATTTAAATTTTATATAAATTAAAAATATACTATTATATATACAAGTAAAATATCAAAATCATTCTATATACTTTGATTAATCAATAAAATATTATTATTTTTAATAAATATAATTTTATTTTTAAAATAAAATAAAATAAAATTTAAAATAAATATTTGATATAATATATATTTTTAAAAGTATCCATATAACTTGAATTTAAATAATATTTAAATTAGTTTGACTAATATTTATATTAAAAACTAATGTATATTTTATTAATTATTAATTAACATTATATAGATTATTCTCTATTAATATATACTTCATATATTCCAATAATGTTCTGTGCTATATTTTTTTTAATATAAGCATTATATATGTAATACAAATAAAAATAAAATAACATTTGATCTTAGGATGAATTAATAATCGTTATGTAAAATATAAAAAAATGTTTTGATATTAATATATAATTAATTTTATTATAATACAGATATTCTTTTAATGGAAAAATAAATAAATAAAAATAATACTTTTGGCGATGCCATTTATCTTTATTATTATTATTATCAATAACTTTTTGAATAATAAAATAAATGCTATACCTAGAGACTGGAATGTTTTTTTAAAAAATAAAATGGAAAATACCTTTTTAATTATAATTTTTAAAAAATACATAAATTTAAAAATTTGGACGTGGAAGAGAATAATAAATATATATATTTTTTTTCATTAGTAAAATCAAATTTTTTTATTTTTTTAATAAAAATAACTTTTAATTAAATACTAATATACTCGTCATTTTTATTTTTTATATTACTTTTAATTTAATTTCAAAGATAAAAATAAATATTTACTATTTTATTACACTATATATATATATATAAAATAATAGTTTAGTCAAATAAAAACTTATCGATGGCTTAAAAAAGTATAAAAAAAATAAATTGAAGTAATTAAAAATACAAATAAGAGCATATTGAAACACGTATACATTAAAATTAAGTTTTAAAAAAAAATACTTATTTGGTCTCTATTTTTATCAATTTTGTCTAGTAGCATTCAAACATTTTATTTTTAATTATATTAAAATACTCTTAATTTTTATAAAATATTTATTTATAAAATAAATAGTAGTATATATTTACCTTTGGTATAAAAGTAATGATATAGTGATAAAATAATAATATTTGTGAAAAAATAATTTTTTAATAATTGAACAATCCGAAATAAATATAAATATGGACAATGATGTACCCATCGTCTCAATTCAAATTATTCCTTTTACCATTTTCGTCCTGTAATTTCAAAGTATTTTTTTATTTTATAAAAGATAATCATCAACTAATACCAAAATATCTAACTTTTATTTAAATTCCAAATATATAATTATTTTTTATTATACACTTTCACTGACTAATAAAATATTACTTCATCCATCCTACTTACTATGTCCCAGTAGTACGAGAATTTAGAATAAATATAATTTGTAAATAATTAAGAATGCATTAATAAAAATAATTATTTTATAATATAAATAATTATAGATTAATAATTAATTAGTTTAATTAAAGTTAAAGAGTTATAAATTAAAAAAAATTAAAATTAAATTAAAATGTGTAATTATTTAAAAAAAAAGTTGTATGAAAAGTGAGACGGACAGAAACAACTACGTAAATACGATAAATGTGACGTAGGGAATATTATTTTGTTAATTTACTAGTTCATCCGCCCCATATAATTTATCTATTATTTCTATTTCGGTCAGTCCTATTCAATTTTTTATTTTCGAAAATATAAATATACATTTTAATTATATTTTATAATTTATAAATTTTTATTCTAATTAAATTATTTAGACATCTTAATATTAATTTACAATTATTTTTATTTTATTAATATAATTTTAATTAATTATTAATTATATAATACTTAAAATTCAATGTTCAACTAAAATGAACAAATTAGTCGAGAAAGAGAGATTACAAACCTCCAATAGGACAACAAAAGAAATACTCCTTCCGTCCCACATGAATAGTAATATTTGATTTTTGTACGTAGATTTTTAAATACTCCATCCGTCCCTTAACAATATATCTGTTTTTTTATTTTCGTCTGTCCCATAACAAAGTATCCATTTTTTTTAGTAACTGTACTATCAACCTAACATTACAAATACTCTTTCAATTTACAATATATTACACAATTGTCATTACCTTTATATCATACAATACTAATAAGAGCAATTTAGTCTTTTTTACCTTTACTTGTACTATATTCTAATATAAAACTAATATTCCTAAAACTATGTGCAAAAAATAAATAGATATATAGATATGAGACGGATGAAGTATTTTTTTATTAATATTGTATAATATAAAAATTGTGATATTTACTGTAGATAGTATAATTAATAAATTAAAAAATAATACATTGTTTTGAGAGAAAGGAAAATGAAAAGCGAAAAATTCTTAGGGTGTGTTTGTTTGGGGTTTGGATTTTGAATTAGGATTTGAATAGTAAAAATTTTGAATTTAAATAGTTGTATGATGTGATATAAATAGGTGTTGATGTGATATCTTGAATATAAAATTAATTTTTAATATAATATTAAAAATAAAAAATAAGTGTTTAATTTAATATTTTTAAAATAAAAAATAAGATGAATAGCGAAAATAAAATCTAATCCCCCGAACAAACACACCATTAGAGTGTAGAGGGAATATTAATTTTTAATAACTGAAAAAATAAAAAAATCCATTTGAATTCAGAAAGATAACTATTAAAAGCAATCGCATCATAGAAGCAAATTTCAATTACTCATCTACTTCGCTGACCTGTGCAAGTGTGTTTGTTCGGGGATTGAATTGGATTTACACTATTTATTCTATTTTTTTTTTTTAATATCAAATTAAACATCTAATTTTTTATTTTTTTATATTATACTGTAAATTAATTTATATTCAAAATATCACATCAACATCTATTTATATCACATCATCACACAATTAAATTCAAAATTTTTAATATTCGAATTCCAACTCAAACACACCCATATTAAAACCTGCCCTAGTAAGACTAGGGTTTAAAAAAGCTTCTGCAACACTAGCCACCGTAACAATGGCGTCTTCCATCGGGACGATCTTCAGTCACCCCGCCGCAACTACCCGCCGCCATCAATTCACCTCTAATCGGAACCTTTTCCATCGATTCCACTTCCGAAATGCGTCTCCCGCCGCCGTCGCCATCCGCTGCTCCCTCCGCGGCCGCCCCGAGTACATCCCAAACCACATTCCAGACCCAAAGTACGTCCGCATATTTGATACCACTCTTCGCGACGGCGAGCAGTCTCCCGGCGCCACCATGACCACCAAGGAGAAGCTGGATATCGCGCGGCAGCTCGCTCGCCTCGGCGTCGACATAATAGAGGCTGGATTCCCAGCCTCATCCGACGCCGACTTCGAAGCCGTCAAGCTGATCGCGCACGAGGTTGGGAACGCGGATTCTGATTACGTTCCGGTGATCTGCGGTCTGGCGAGGTGCAATCAGAGGGACATCATGAGGGCGTGGGAGGCTGTTAGGTACGCGAAGAAGCCGAGAATTCACACTTTTATTGCAACGAGTGAGATCCACATGAAATACAAGCTGAGGAAGACGCCGGAGCAGGTTGTTGAGAAGGCAAGGAGTATGGTAGAGTATGCAAGGAGTTTGGGCTGTGAAGATGTTGAATTTAGTCCTGAAGATGCTGGAAGGTATACTCCACTTTCTTTCTTTCTTTTTCATCAGTTTTTTTGCTGAATATATTTTTCCAGGATTTTTTAGGCTCCTGAAGGAAATTCTGGATGATGAAATTCTACTTCATATAATAAATTGATTGAAGTGCAAATTAGTTATAGGATGTAATGTTCTAAATGAATGTAGCTGGTGGTTATATTTTGAATGGAAATAAGGGTCTGTTTGTTTAGTGATTATAGTTTTAGATGGTTTTGTTGTGATGTCCAGTGAGTTGTGAAATATTATAGGGGAAGATATTTTCTGTGTTTTTATTGAATTTGATTGTTATGTGTATATATTGCATATTATATAGTATTATAATTTTTTGTAATATTTTTGGGAATCTTGTATGTGATAAGTACTAAACATACAAACTCTTGTTGATGTTACGATCATGGTTGTCAATCACGGATAACAATATCTAAAATGCTATAGCGGCTATTTAAATATTTAAGGATATATATAAATTTATTATATATACAAAATTATAACAAAAATACATAAGAAAAACTTATAAATTAATTTCGTAATTATCACCCAAACCAATAAAAAGTCAATATATATATATATATATGATCATAACTATTAGATAGTTATATAAACAAAAACAATTAGATCACTATTGTGTAATAGATATATATCAAAGCTAATCAGATTCAAAATCTGATAAAAAAATTTCTTCCTCATTTAAATCCTCACTCCTTAATTACTTTTGTCTCCATATTTTTTCTCCTCTTCTTCATTCTCATCCATTTATTTAATTGTATGTTTGTCATCTGTATAATATCATTTCCCTTTTTAGAGCTAGAAGTACCTATAACTTTTTTTCTCATTGATGTTTGTATCTTAGTGTAGATAGCACAGCACAGACCTATTAGCATCAACAACTCCCCTAGTCAAATTATCATTGTGAAAGACTAACTTATCCTCCACAATTATCAACTTCTTTAATTAACAACTCATTGGAATCATTTGAAACAATAGACCAATCACATCATTGCTATCATAATGATCTAACAAATTTTGGTTATACTTGATATAAATCAAATCTTGCAACTTTTGGCTTTCTAATTTGTTTCTTTTCTCGGAATGAATCTAAAAATTTAGTTAAGATTTAAAATAAATGTTCTTTTTGTCTATATTATAATAAAAAACATACATTTTATATGTTAAAATAAGATTTCAATTATTTACGTGTTAATAAATAATCAAATAAGCTACAATAGAGGTATAGCGTAACGTAGCAGAGTGCCGCTACACGCCGCTACACCGCTATTGCGTAAACGCGGAATCGCGGAGCGGCCGTAGCAGCAGACTGCCTTTCCGCTACACTACGCCGCTATTGCGCACTATTAACAACTATGGTTATGGTTTTTATTGAAAATGATCATTTGATGTGATGTTTATGGGAATTTTTTATTTTTATTTTTTGGATTTTGATATTTTTGTTTGGGAAGAGTTGGATGGGGCAAAAAAAAATGCAAGACGAACAAATCTTATATTGTTGTACAATAACATTGTGAACATGAATCCGAAAACACAAACAAACGAACACAAATCATTATCTTTTTGTTCTCTAGTAATTTTAGAAGAATCGAGAATTTGCTTCCGTTCAGTATCTCATGTAACAATCGAAAGACAGGGAAAGAATTAATGCATTCCCTTGTACTCCATGTGTTAGTACCATTCTGCATTTCATATTGGTGTACTGTTTAATACTCCATGTAACACAGCCTGTCTTCATAATATTGCATTCTTTTGGTGGTACCTTAATGCATTTCTAATTCATCTGCTGCGTTTAGACCCAACATCTTGCCTGCTTCACCATCACCATAATCTTAACATCACTTATGCCCCTACCTTTCTCTGCCATTTGATTCTGAAGGGATACTTATACTACTTCACACAAAACATGATTCATTGCAATGACCTGCTTCATATTTCCGATATGGTTGCAATCATTAACACCCAAATTGCTTACCGTGTTAAACAGTAGTGAATTTGGTGGTAGGTTGAAGTTGTTGCATGCTTCAATTTCCGGAGTATTTGTTTTATGTTCAAGAAACTGATTTACTATTTGAATCTGGCATCTTAAGTTTCACTCTATCCTATTATATTGTGGAATAATTTTTTATTTATTTTGTATAATTTCACATACAAGCTTTGGATGGAATATTAACTTTTAATATTGCTCCTTGATGCTGAGAGGAGGAATCATTTATAAATATATATATATATTTTTAAATTGACGGTCACCCTTTATTATTTTGTCTTCCTTGCAGATCAGATAGAGAGTTTCTCTATCAAATTCTGGGTGAAGTTATAAAGGCAGGGGCGACAACCCTCAACATTCCGGATACAGTTGGCTACAATTTGCCTGCAGAATTTGGACAATTGATTGCTGATATAAAAGCCAACACTCCTGGAATTGAAAATGTGATCATTTCAACACACTGTCAGAATGACCTTGGGCTTTCTACTGCCAATACCTTAGCTGTATGCATTCACGTACTTTCTTTGTTATAATACATATGTGACCGAGTTGGTGTTTTACTACAACTGAACTTGTTTGACTTCAGGGGGCAAATGCTGGTGCAAGGCAGGTAGAGGTGACCATTAATGGCATTGGTGAAAGAGCTGGTAATGCCTCATTAGAGGAGGTGTGTGTTATCGTATATGCTTGTAGATTCTATTTCAATATTTCCCCTTCATATACAGAAGTCGATTTCATATCAAGGCGGAACCTTTTATTAGATAAACTATAATACTCCCTCCATTCGAAACATTTGCTAGTTTTACTCTTAGTCCGGTTTTTAAGTGGAGTAATTTTGGACATCTCCAATTAGATGTAATAACAAAAGGGAATATGGAGTAGATGCTAGACATTGGCATTTCATTCTCCAGAAAGTTAAAGCAATTGTTTGATTTTCGTAAGCTTCCCTGTGCTTAGAAGTTTTCTCCTGTAAAATTCAACAATTTACTTTGACTTCATTGCAGGTTGTAATGGCCTTGAAATGCCGTGGAGAACAAGTATTGGGTGGCCTTTACACAGGGATCGATACGAAACACATTGTTATGGCAAGCAAGATGGTACGATCCCTGTTTAGTTCTAGTTTAATGACTGTTTTCCATGATGTAGTCCCCTGTTGTAAATCAATTCAATAATAAACTTCAGGTTGAAGAATACAGTGGCCTGCGTATACAACCACATAAAGCAATTGTTGGAGCAAATGCCTTTGCCCATGAAAGTGGGATCCATCAGGTTGGTGATGAATGAAGGGATCATCCTGTGAGGAATATGCTATTCTTTGATAAATAACATTTTTATGCGCAATCCTGTTCTCTCTGATTGCACCACTTTGATATATTTGTAGCAGCCTGTGAAATCAATCAATATCTTCTAATTTGTTTGCTAGTGACAAATTAAGTGTTCTCTTACAATAAATTGATATCAACTGAAGAATAGTGAGGCAGTCCGTATTCAAAAGTAGAAATTTTAGTTTGAAATTGTCAAATTGTTACTTCAGAAGAGTCCTGGTTTTTATGGTTAGACAGTCGTTTGAGGTTCATCTTAGAATTGCCAATTAATTGAGTGGGACGTGATTTGAGAGAGGAGAAAATTAAGGTGCTATTATTTTTATCCTGATTGCACTTGATTTACATCCATTACAGATGATGTTTTATCATTTGGCATAATTTTATTGGATTTTGGACTATTTCAACATTCAAAGTATGACTTATTGGCTTTTTTCAACCTCAGTTAGCTCTCCAAATGCTGTCTAAAAGTCTGACATTCTCAACTCTTGAGCTATTGTTTCCTGAGTTTTTTGAATCTTGAGCTGAGGATGTTGTGGATTATATTTTTGTTTTGCACTGAAGATACAGCTATAGTAATAGTGGTCCAGTACAAATATATAGATACAGGGGTATGTTAATAAGATTATCAGGAACAGTGTAGACAGGTAAACCCTCATTAATCAGGTCATCCATATCAATGTTCCCATGGTGACTTGTTTACAGTTTGTTAAAGAATAAATATCATCAACACTTCTTCTAAACTTCTAATATAAGAACAATGATCACAATCTATTTCTGAACATATATATAACATGGTTTATTGGTTTTATTTGAAAAGAATGGTGTCCCGATTTTACATTTTCAGTTATTTTCATTACTTGCTCTTATTTTTCATACACCTTGTTTTTATCTGATAATATATGGTTCTTGTTCTGAACAATCATTAATTTTCACTCTTATGATTCTCATGCTGAGACTTGTGGAACAATTTCGATATAACTTTATCTATGCGCCAACTTTTGTTTGTAGGATGGAATGCTTAAACACAAAAATACATATGAAATTATATCTCCAGAAGACATAGGACTTCTTCGTTCTAATGAATCTGGTATAACTCTTGGAAAACTCAGGTATGTGCAAAATATGACTTTCATAGATTGTGATTCAGACTCCAAACTGAACTTTACTCCATTTTTGTGGTGATTTAGAATCTTAGATTAGCTCGTCGGTTTAGAATGGGTTGATAAACAATAAGAAAGCATTCAGTGTAGGGTTAAGTTGGAAAGAGAGTTAAAAAATTACCTTGACTTCAAATTATAAACTTAGAAATAATGTAATCTGAGTTCTATTTGGCATGTATTATATTTTCTAAATATGCACGTATTGCAATATTTTATTTCTTTTCATGATATTATTTGCTTTTGGGTGTCTCTTCTCATCGGGGGTGATGCCTCACCATATTGTTGATTTTTGTGAATATCAATGGCATATATTCATGTGTTTGTTTCTCATTGTTTATACAGCGGACGCCATGCCCTTAAAGCTAAAATGTTGGAGGTAAACAACTTTCAACCTTATTCACATAGTTAACTACCTGTATTTGTCTGTTATACATCAGCTTTATTATTCTTTTGTGAATGACTTTGCAGTTAGGATATGATATTGATGGAGATGAGCTTGACAATCTTTTTCAACGATTTAAAGGTGTAGCAGGAAATAAAAAGGTATTTTGAACTTTGTTATACTTACGCATTTGAGTTTGTTGAATATTGTTGTCCTACGTTAGAAAATTATGGGAACCCCCCTTGCATATAAGAGTGAAAGACTACTCCACTTAATACAAATTGATTTTAAGTTGGAATCCCAGATTCTTTTTTAAAAGAGTTGTTATATGTTTCACCTGACAGTTGAACATTGGTTTGTTTTACTCCATGTTGGTGAGAGTATGTCCGAAACTATGGACAAATTGAACCTGAACAAGTCTCTATTTGACAAGTAACACAATCAGCGTGTTCACGAGCATGGACCTAATTGACACTGGCCCTAACTTCAGGGTTAAAATGAAAGATAGCTGTTTTCAGATTTAAGTATATAGATACAGTTAATTGTGGCTTTGGTTTTAATTTATTTTGTATAATCTCGTTTGAGTTGAATCTTGACCAAACTAGCATGAATTTGTTTGTACATAATTGATTTATTTTAAATGAATCAAGCCCAAAAGAAAACACTTTATTGTTTCTTAAAGAAAGCAAATTCAAACATGAGATATTTGGTTTGCTTCGGCTTGTTTATACCTCTACTAAGCATGCAACATAGGCTTCTAAGAGCTATTATATTGTTCTATACCATGTGCTTCTCAAATTATTTAGATCCTATGAAAGAACCACTCACCTTCTGTAGTATTGATGGACTGACCAATTAGATATGGTTTCTGAAGGCACAAACATCGACCCAGTATCAAAAATCTTGCCTTGCCATACTTACATAGCTATCTAATCGTAGATCTGTAGAAATGCTTATTCATGTTTATCCTGATATTTATTTAACACACATTTGGGTATGATGCGTATCTTTTGTATGTTCCAGATAATCACCGATGATGACCTAATTGCCCTCGTTTCGGATGAAGTCTTCCAGCCAAAAGTTGTATGGAAATTCGAGGATGTACAGGCATGTATTTGGTCTTCTTATTTACTTAAAAGTTTGATTACCAGCCGAACCAACTAGTAATATATTCTCCCTTACGGGAACAGGTTACATGTGGATCTCTTGGCCTGTCTACTGCAACCATCAAACTCACAGACATCAACGGTAATGAACACATTGCTTGTTCAGTTGGAAGTGGGCCGGTCGATGCGGCATACAAGGCCATTGATCTTATTGTTAAGGTCGGAAACACAATTATGTTGAATTTATATTATATATGTTTCAGGAAACACTATTTGAAGTCTCTTAGCTTCTGTGCAGGTTCCTGTTACGCTTGTCGAGTATTCCATGAATGCAGTAACTGAAGGAATTGACGCTATAGCCATGACACGAGTTCTAATTCGCGCCGAGGATGCTGCTGCTACATCAACCATTGCTATGACAGGAGAAACGGTCACCCGTGCTTTCAGGTATAAAAGAACTTGACTTACCCATGCTTTTATTTTTGGCTAAATTGCACAAAACCTACATGTGGTTTCACGAAATTGCGCTAAATCCTTTATACTTCTAAAACTGCGCCACCTCTCTCGTGGTTTTATAAACTCTGCTTCTAACCTCTCGGCACGGTCCTTATTTAACGGTATTTGACCTAAATGCACCCAAATTGCGGATAAATTTTAGAATGTTGGTTTCTAAACCCCTAAAATTATAAATATATTTATTTTTCTTATATTTAGCTCGAAAAAAGAAAAACAGTAAAAATAAATTCTTAAAACCTGAGAAAAATAACAATTTTTTAGTATATTTACTACTCCCTCCGTCCTAAAACTAAAGTCTTATTGAGGTTGGACACAGAATTTAAGGAATTGATAGTTGGTAAAGTAAATGACTTTTTTACCCTGGCGAGTGTATTAGTGTAAAAAGTAGTGACATTTATGTAATAATAATGAAAAAGTAAGGATAATTTTACGGTGATATGAGTATTTATGGAAATAAGACTATTGTTTTGGGACAGACAAAAATGGTAAATAAGACTATTGTATCGGGGCAGAGGGAGTAATTTTTTAGTCTAAATATAAAAAAGATCGAATATATTTGTAATTTTAGAGGTTTAAAAATTGATATTAAAAATTTCATTAGCGGTTTGGGCTTATTTAGGTCAAATATTATTAAATAAGAACCGCCGAGGGAGTTAGACACAGAGTTTATGAAACCACGAGAAAGTTTGACGCAATTTGTGAAACCACACGGGTAGGTTTTGTGCAATTTACCCTTTGTTTTTTAAAGTTTTTAAATAAAAAGTAAAAATCTTCTTTACACATTCCCGAGCCAAAAGAACACGAATTTTTCAAAATGTTGTCTGATATGGTTGTTCTTGGCCACCAGTGGGACAGGAGCATCGATGGATATCGTCATTTCCAGCGTTAGGGCCTATATCGGTGCATTGAACAAGCTGATGGGGTTCCAGAATCGCCCGAAAACCGAAAATCCCAACGAGATCAAGGTTTTGAATACGGCTTGAAGCATGCATATGCATTTGTCGACAAATTTTCTTGGTAAGTTGTTGCTCCTTAAAACTTTCTTGTGTTTCTTGAGGCTGCAATGGTTGTCACCAGAGTATGTTAGTATTATTTATATTTATGGGGGATTTCATTCAAAATAAGAAATATATATATATATATATATGTATTTATGTGTGTAGTATCTGTATAATTGGGGATGTAAGAAATTTCTTATTAAATTTTGGCATAGCAAATTAGGTTAATCGTATATGAGAGAGTGAATTGAATTGGTTTCAATATTTAATTCTAAGTTATTGTGTTAGTATTCTATATGAATCATTTAAAGATGGATAAATCATATAACAATGCATTGTATTTTAGTAAAAATACACGGAATACCTGTATTTTATTTAATATAAAGTTTGGTTCTAAATAAAAATTTAAATTACGTAAATAAAAAATTAATCAATTATTTATTTAATTTTTTTTTTATAATTTTTTTAAGAGGTAAATTGTTATATGAGTTTTAAAAAATTATAAAAATAAATGATCGATCAATTATTTATTTATTTATTTTATTTTAAAAGTTATTTAAAATATTTTATATTTTTTATTTGTATAAAATTTGTATAATTTAAGTTTTTATTTACAATTAAATATTAGTTTTGGACAAATAGAGTATTTTGTGTCAATTTTAAATTAAGAGACAGAAATTTTACGGGATAAATAAAATAAAAGGTGTTTTATGCATTTTTAATAAAATATATCGGGTCTGGTATAATTTATCTTTTAAAGATTTGTTGAATATCTCCACCCCGCTGGATAAGTTTGAGACCGAACAATTATCAACGAAAGTCACATGTGTAGCATAAATTATTACCATGTTCTTAGTTTATAAATTATGTATTTGTGTTATGTGTGTTTGTTTGGAGGTTTGAATTTTGAGTTGGGATTTGAATAGTAAAAATTTTGAATTTGAATAGTTGTATGATGTGATATAAATAGGTGTTGATGTGATCTTTTGAATGTAAAATTAGTTTTTAAGTATAATTATTAGTAAAAATAATTATTATATAATAAAAAATAATTATAGATAATTAAATAGTTTAATTTAAATTTTATTATTATTATTATTATTTTTTAGATGACGTGGGCCGCTATCCGAAAGTATGGCAGGTGACCTGAGGCATTGGGTTTAAACTCAACTCATGACTCATGAATTTTTTATTATTATTATTATAACTTGTTTCAGTAAAAGTAAAGACTAGCCGCCCGAGTAATAGACGGGTGGTGTTAGATTATTATTCTTATATCACATATATTGATAAAAATATATTTAGAAAATATTATTAAATTAGTTATTGAATAATTGAAATTTATTATTATTACAGAAGGATAATAAAAAATTAATGACAAATTAATTATTATGTATTAATTAAAAGGGCATATAATTATATAATATTTTTTCTATTTTTATAAACATACAATGTATATCGAATTTTATATTTTATTTATTACATAAAGTATACACAGCATTTTATTTGTTCAAATATGATGTTTAGTTGTAAAGGCATATCTAATTAACAAATTTTTATTCAAATAAAAAAGATAAATATATTAAATAGTATACTATTTTTTGAAACTTTAATTTAACAAAAAACCTTATACTCATTCGTTATAAAATAATAGTTTCATTTTATTATTTTCTATATTATAAGACAAAATAATAGTTTCATTTTATTATTTTCTATGTTATAAAATAATAGTCTTATTTCTAACTAGTTTTCCACATTTTTACAAAACTATCACTACTTTTTTACAATAATGACATAAAATAAAAGCAATTTGATCTTTAAAAAACACTTTTACACCCGCTATTAATATACTCCCTCTGTCCCGGTGCAAAATTGTCGTTTACTTTTTGCACGTAGATTTTTAAATATTAGTATTATAATAGATTGTAGTGAAAAAGACAAAAATAAAATTAATAGATTTTTGAATATTAATATAAAAGTAATGACATTTATATAATATAGTGCAAGTTAAAAGGATATTTATTATATTAGATAGGTAGTACGATTTCTAATGTAGAAAATAGTAACCTTGTTTTGAGACGGACAAAAATAAAAAATAACAACATTTCAGTGAGACGAAGGGAGTAATAATATTATTCCTTAATTATCGTGTCAATCTTATATCGGATGTCCCTATTATTTTGAAACGGAGGGAGTAATAAAATTATGTAATAAATAAAATACAAAATATGTGCATTTAAACTAAAACACAAACCCTTTTATCAAAAGTAAGTTGCATCATTTTAACTTATGGAGTGCATTTTCTCTTGCATCAAATCAAATACTCAAATTCTAAAAAAAAATTCAAAGCTGAAAACAGGTCAATATAACTCATGGAACTAAAATTCACAAGAAAAAATTGTTAGGCAGACAAACACAAGAGGTAAGATCTTCCATTCACAATCACTCAGTCTCACACTAGAAATGGATCGATATTCTAGTTTACGAAGACAGACAGACATTGGCTGGCTCTTTAATCATCATGGCTACACATAACACTCATCCATTATAGGAAAAGGGAAAAACATATAATATTCGAATGGAAATCACAAAAACACTCGGAAGATATGCATTATACGGCACAGATATGCAATTGAAGTGAATATAGAACAACCACATGGGGATGAGGGTGGGGGTGGGGCTTTCGGATGTTACCTTAGCTCTCAGGGGTGGGTGCAGTAGACTTCAAGAGAGGCTGCAAGGCTTTGACCACAATGCTCATGTTTGGACGAAACTCAGCTTCGTATTGCACGCACAATGCTGCAACTGCTGCCAACTGCAACATGAAATTTGATCAACATATTAATAGTTGTTCAAAAACATGTGTGTATATATATATATAGAGAGAGAGAGAGGAACCTTGGCGACCCCTTTGGGTGGGTACTCTCCCTTAAGTTTTGGGTCGACACACTGCTTGACCTTGTCCTCGCTCAGTCTTGGTGTCGCCTAAAGGAAGAAGGCAAGCAGTTAGCTATGAGGGCAAAATGGAAACCGTAAATAGGGATAGACAACAAAAAAAGGCTCACCCAAGTAACAAGACTCTGCTGTCCACGAGGCATGGTGTGATCAACAGGCTTCCTTCCAGTCAGAAGCTCAAGCAGAACCACCCCAAAGCTATAAACATCGCTCTTCTGTGTCAATTGCCCCGTCATTGCATATCTGCCAGTGTCAAAATTCTTTGATTAGAATTAATTACTTTACATATTCAAACCGTAACCTACCACAGCAAGAATGCGGAGGCTACTAGCTCCACAACAATATTAAATGCGTTATGTAGTTTGGGGACAAATTCTGGTGCAATTTAAGTAGAATTTTTATCGAGATTGTAATGAAAGGATCAGCACAGGAGCAGTTCCAAGTACTCATTCCAGCAAAACATCTGGTTCCTAGCCTTCTTTCTATTGTGAAATACAAATAACAATAAACATAAAGATATATCAAGAGAGAGATATATTCACTAACAGATTTATTGGAAGGTCCAGTAAAGTGAAAGTGTTCCAGACTAGAGAGAGAACAATCACTGGTGAAAGTTTCAGAAACTATGACTGTGTTCACCTGTGTTTCCATCCCCAGTGTTGATCCTTATAAGCTACACTGATTTTTATTTATTTATTTATTGTTCAAAAACATCGTATCAATACCTAGTGTCTATTTAAAACATCATCAAATAATTATTTAATTTAAGAAATTCAAATTCAAATTCAAATCCAAAACAAAATAAAAAACATCACATCAATACCTATTTTTGATTCAAAATGTCACATCCAATAATTTTTTCATTCAAGAAAATTCAAATCCAAAGCAACTCATGTGGACTCTACAAGAATTCATTATTATTATATTATTTTTCTGTCCAAAAACATCAGACCCAATACCTTTTTTCCATTAAAGAAAATTCAATTCCAAAACAACTCAAAACAATTCGCAGCTTAATTAAACACCCCCAACAAATCCTAAACAAAGAATAAAAAAAAAAAAAAAAGTGGCTAGCCAATCTACATCTAGAATAGTTAAATTTCATTCAAGCATATGTCTGCGATTATGATAGATATAGAGCAGACTATTATAGAAATTAGTATATTTGGCAAGTAAAGAAGCATTACTCTGGGGCATGGTAACCAAAGGTTCCAAGAACTCTAGTAGAATGAAGACGAGCAGCCATGTCAGGAGCCTGATTTGAAAGGTTAAAGTCTGCAACCTTGGCTTTGTAATCTTCAAATAGAAGGACATTACTGGATCTGATATCTCTGTGAATTATTGAAGGCTGAACCTTCTCGTGCAAATATTCCAATCCTCTAGCAGCATCGACAGCAATTTTTACTCGTTGCATCCAGTCAAGAACAGGACCAGGCTGTGCTCCCTGAACTCCTTTTCTTCCTGTATTGAAGTAGCAAACATAATTAAACCTCTAGCAAGGATATTGTGGAGCACACCTATTCTAATTTCTACGTACCGTGCAAAATATCATGCAGAGATCCCATGGTCGCAAATTCATAAGCTAAGACACGAAGGTTGCCATCTACACAGTAACCAAGCAATTCAACAAGATTTTCATGCTTCAATCTTGACACCATGGAAACCTATGCAAGATTAGTTGCATTGTGGATAACTTGAATACTTAGGCAGAATAATATGTACATCAAAAATCAAAATCACAAAACTTGTAGCTAGACCTGAGTCAAGAACTCGTTGTTCAAATCAGGTTCGGATGACACATCAAGCTTCTTGACGGCAACTTCCTTTCCATTTTCCAAGTGAGCATAATAGACTCTTCCATAGGATCCTTCACCAATCAAGGCTTTTGATCCAAAATTGTCGGTTTTCTCTTTCAATTCCTCAAGAGACAAAGCAGGCACCTCAATAGGAGGTGCTGATTTCTGGACTTCTGGCTTCACTGGAGCCGATGCCTTAGAGCCTTTTTGATGAGCTGGTGATGCATACATAAATGCATCAGGAGCTGAATAATCACATTGGATGCCCAAGGGCCATATACTAATGGCTAGTTTGGATGGAAAGATTGGGAAGAAAGAGAAACAAATTGGAATAAAAGCTTTCTAATTCCCTAAGAAAACTTCCCATCCACATTTGGTAGCAAACTCTTTTCCTCTCTTTTCCATTAAAACTCCCAAACAGCCATAACGATTACATACCTTAATAAATAAGTATAATCAACAAAGTAGAGATGAAATCAATGAGCTTATGTATATTGGGTAGTTAATGTGTTATATGCTCAAGGAGTTTCACATTACTAAAGATGGTAATGAAACCTAATCTCTTGAATGGACCACACAAAGGAAATAAAGAAAGTAAGTTAAATCTTAATAGAAGCTAGGCATAACAACAGAATATTGCATACTTACCATCATTGTTGTTCCTGGTGTTCTTGAAATTCTCATCTTCGTTGGGATGGTTAGACTCCTCTACTTTGCAGGTGCAGCAGAAGAACTTACGCATCATCGATCTCTTTCTCAGAAAGAAGTATTCTTCAGCACTCTTGTTCTCAAAGTATGAATAGTATGGAGGCGATGTTTCAGCCTAAAACATTCAGAATAAAACCGAACATTTCAAATTACTGCCAGAATCTGAACGCCTAGCAACATTTTTACAGTGCAAAACAATTGGCATTGCTTTCGATACAAATTAACTAGACCAAAAAAGAACATTGCAATAAAGCAAGTTTCCTCTATGTGGCCTTGCTTCGCTGCCTTAAGCAAATAGAAAGTAAGGTTCCCTGTCATAAACAGATACACAACTAACCTAACTACTACTTGCTTTTAGAAATATCAAAGCTTTGCTTTTAGGAATTAATATTACAATGTATAGGAGGAAGAAGATGCCCTCATTTAGATCTAACAAAAAACTACTACAAGAACAAGTCGAAAACCAGACACAAGAGCTTGTTTTCGATTCTTACAGAGATTCATCCAAACACAAAATGACAAAGAAATCTTTCCACAATCTTTAACCCTAGCGGGTCGATTGACATCCTATAAACACAACTTCTGTAAAACACAGAAAAACTAGACAATCACAATGCAAGGATCTTCATAACAAATATGACAGACGAACATGCCAAAACAATCACAAAATTACCACACCTAAAAGAGTTTTGCAAAGAATTTTATATCAGAAGAAACAATTGGGTTGGGGTTCCACACAAAATATCCAAGGGATTCCCGATTGAATCACGCCGACAACCTGCATCAACAAAAACGACAACCGAATCGCTCCATCACCTAGATATCGAAATGAGGAGCACGGAGATCACAGCTTCAATTCACCAACACAACCAAAAGAAACCTAAAGCAGAATAAAAAGAAAAAGAAAAAAGAAAAGAAAACTTCACAAATCCATCCAGAAACCCCCTAATCGACGGTTCCAACCAACAATCTCACCCCCAAGCTAGGGCGATACACAAAACGGCCGTTCCTCCCCATTTAAAAACAAATAAACGAGGACAACGCAACCGAATCACGCAGAGGGAAGGAGATCCAAGGAAGCCGGCGAGTGGAAAGGCCGAAGAGAATGAAGAAAGAAATCACATACAATACAATACAGAGAGAAAGCGTACACAGGAAGAAATACCAACCGAAATTCATGGAGTCATTCAACTGTTCTTCCCCCTGCCAATCAATCAACCAATTATTAAGTCAGTCAATCAGTCCTTGTTTCTCGAAACGCGATCGCAATTGAATGCCCTATTATGCACTTCAACTCGTTCCAATGGCGATTTGGCATTCATTCAAGCCTCCATTCCTCCACAACAAACATGTGCGAATCCGAGGGTTTATCTCAAAATGACAAGAAGAATAATGATAAAGAAATGAGAGAAAAAGTGGAGGTGGGTAGCCAGGGGAGGCGAGGCCAGACAAACACAGCAAAGAGAGAAGAGAGTGGTGCCTGCCCTGCTCTGATGATCTTCGAACTGTGGGTATGTGTGTGTGAGAGAGAGAGAGAGAGAGGCGGTGGAGTAGATGGGATAAAAGGCAGCAGCGACCAACAAAAAGTTGTGTTTCTTTTATATTATTTGTGTGGTTTGTTCCTGTCAATAAATATGAAATCAAATCAATGGAGCACATTGCACGCGCTTTCCCTTCCTCTCTCTTTCTCTCTCCAATTTTGAATTTAAATTAGTGTTTGGAATTTTGATTTTTGGTTTATATTTTAAATTAGAAATACTACTCCCTCCATCCATAATTAGATATTTATTTATTTTTTCACTTTTTTTATATAATTTTAAAAATATTAGTATTATATTAAAATATAGTAGAAATAAAGTAAAAATGAGTAAAATAACCTTATTAGTATATGATATAAAAGTAGTGACAATTGTCTAATATATTGTAAATTGTAAGAGTACTTGTAATGTTAGGTAGATAGTTCAATTGCATGACGCTCTCTATATTTTCAAAAATATTGCATAAAACCCTCATGTCATGTAAAATATATGGACAGAAAATCATCTTTTTATCACACGAGGAAAGTTTCATGGTGGTGGGATTTCATGCAACGTTTTTTAAAGTATAAGGGGGTATCATGCAATTTTTAAAATATAGAAAGATTTTACGCTGAATTTCAAAACCACAAAGAAAATTATAAGCAATTTTATCTATATTATTGGATAAATAAATTGTATAAATACCTGCATGTATTTTGATTGTAAAGACATAATATACATATATATATATATATTAAAGTATGCATAAAATATATTTTTGTTGGTAAATATATCTAATTATATAAATATTATGTAAATAAATTAAATAAAATATTTTAAATATTACTTTATTTCAGGGGTGGATTTGTTTTGTAAAATTATTCGAGGAAATATATATTTTTTTATGTAATGTATAAAGAATTGTGTATATAATATAAATAAATATGTATAATATATATTAATATTTTTTTTTGAAATTATTAAAAGAAGAACTAAGATTAGAGAGGATAATTTGATAATTAATGGTATACTTGATCAAGACAAATAAAAATAAATAAATTTTTCTTGTTTGTTTTGACGTGAAAATTCAAAATTAGAAAATAAATTATTTGTCATATCTCATTTCTATTTTTCTTTTGTACAGAAATGAAAAAAAATAAAATTGTGACAATAAAAAATACACAAACATATTTTTCTCTTACTGTTAGTAATATTATTATTATTATTATAATAAGATTAATCAATAAAAATATAAATTATTTTTTCGATTAAACTACAAATTTAAGAAGAACCGAGATCAAGAAAACAAGTTTTAAAAAATTGTCATATTCTGTAAATCTTTTGTCGAATTACACACACTCGATTAAAAAAGTTACCGTTGGATTGAAAAAACAATGAATCACGAACATTTTTATTTATTTATTAAACTAAAATATAATTTTACATTCAAAACATCACATCAATACATATTTATATCATATCAAATAACTATTTCAATTCAAAATTTTACTATTCAAAATCAAAATTTAAAATCAAAACTTCACAAGTAAACACACCTGATAAATGGACCACATAAAAGATATTTCATACTCCCTCCGTCCCAGATACCGTGTCTGTCACACTGTGGACACAGTATTTTAGGAGGAGTATAATTAGTAGATAATTAAGAATGTATCAGTGAAAATAATTATCCTATAATATAAATAATTATAAATTAAGATTAAGATAACTAATTAGTTTAATTAAAATTTAAAAAAAATTAAAAAATTTAAAATGAGATTAAAGTGTGTAATTATTTTTCAAAAAAGTAACATAGTATGTGGGACGATAGAAACGGCAACGTAGACATGGTATCTGACACCGGAAGGAGTATTTTGGTAGGCCATTTGTTTTAATAGCAGCAAACACGGCACTTTTTTTTTTCTTTTTTTTTTTATTATTATTTTTTATTTTTATAAACGAACACGGCACTTGCTTTTGTTTCAATGTGCTTTGGAACATGTCCTTCACTGATTAAAAGCCAGAATCGAATTAAACATTTTTAATATAGTACTTTGACAAATTCTATATATAATATTAAAAAATATATTTAATATATATGATAAATAATGTGATATTGATTTAAAAGTAGTATAGAATTATGGATGAGCATTCAGATCTTTTATTTGAATTTTGTGAAATTCGAATCCATTCAAAAATTTAAATTTTTGAAAAAATCAATCTAAATCAAACCAAAATAATCGAAAAAATTTGAACTAAATTGAAAATTCCAAATTTCTAATTTTTATTTATTTTATTTTTTTATAATTATATTATAATATTAAATATATATATATCTAATAGGATAAACTGTTTTTTAGTCCCGTAACTGACCTCCTTATCATTTTAGTCCCGTAAGTGGAGCCTGTCGCAAACTAGCCCCATAAGTGAAAAATTTTCGTTGTTTTAGTCGTCCGGCGCCGGAGATGCCCGCGTGGCTCGCCGGAGGTGACGTGTCCGCCAGGTCAGCGACACGTGGATTTTTTTTAATTTGTTTTCATTTATTTTTAGTTTTATTTGAATTTTTTTATTTTTTATTTGGTCTAATTAAAAATAAATATAAAAAAAAATCCACGTGTCCACCCGGTGTCGCTGATCTGGCGGGACACCTGGCGGACACGTCACCTCCGGCGAGCCACGCGAGCGTCTCCGGCGCCGGAGGACTAAAACATCGAAAATTTTTCACTTATGGGACTAGTTTGCGACAGGCTCCACTTACGGGACTAAAATGATAAAGGGGTCCAATTACGGGACTTAAAAAACAGTTTACCCAATATAATATATATAAATAAGTATATTAAGATAATTTCAAGTTTTTATTATTATTAAAATGTTAATTATATATAATTATAAATATATATTAAAATATTGTATTTTTTCAACTATAGAGAAAATAAATAGACAATATAAAAAATAATATCTTGTATTGAATTATTAATTTGTTTTAGTGTATAGAGTATATATATTTTATATTTTGTATGAATATATACATATTAGTATATTTTGTATAATATTAATTGAAAAATATGTCAGAAATTTTTGGTAAAAGAGTGTTTGTTTAGTGCTTTTTGCTTGAGGTGTTTTATACGTTAGACAGTGAATGTATATATATGTAATAAAAATAATATTTTGTTGGATAATCGGTTATTTATGCAATCGATTAATTGGTGAGTGAAAATACGAAAGGCCGGTGAACCAAATTAATTAGATTAATTTGGATTAAATAAATAAATAATATTTATTTATTGTATATGGAGTTTGGTTAATATTTTTGGTTTTTTGTCTGTTTCGAGACAAATCAAATTATGCGACCTAAGTTAAATCCGGGTATATGGCCTAAGTCGCAATATTATTTGGATAAAATATTATCCGTTGGATGGATTTATACTAATCTCAAACGGAATGTTTGAAATTAGAATAAATTACGATCGTTACAAATAGAAAGTTTTGTTATTAGAATCAATTACGACCGCCTTAAACGGAAGGTTTGAATTTATAATAAATTATATCGGTAATTAAAGTCGTAATTATGATCGTAATTGATCCCGCGTCATTTTGGCCGAGTGGAGACGCCTATATAAAGGGTCTTTCCCTTCATTTTAGAAAAACAACATCTTCTCCTCCTTCTCCCTTTTCTTCTGGTTTTTCGGTAACCTCTCCAACTCAGTTTTTCTCTCGTTTTGTTCGTCGGAGCTCCGACGATCTGAGGTATCACTCTCATCGGAGACGGAAACCGTTTTATCTTTGAGTTGAAGAACGTTGGTCACCATAGGCACTACCGGTGCGTATCTAATTTTTGGAAAAATCATTAATCATTGACTCGGTTTCACGGTAAATTTACTTCTCGCAATACCCATTTAACTAACAATTGAAAATTAGATGCTACTTTGTGAGAATGTAACTCTTACCGAAGTCGCCGCTGCTGGAGAGGTCTCTGGAGCCGACGGAACATTCGCCGGAGCCGCAGCCATAGGAGCCGCCGGAGCCGCATCTGGAGGAGTTGCCAGAGTTGTACTCCTCAATTTGGGTCAATTCCCTTTATCGGTAGCTTTGTATTTTCTGGGTTTGCCCCACGGATGATGCCCCTTATACCAGTCCCACAAGCATTCACTGAAGTGGATTTTAAGAGGTGGCAAAAGAAGATACTCTTCTACTTGACTGCAATTGGATTTACTACGTTCGTGTTGCACGATGGCCAACTACCACAAAGTCCGATCCGGATCAGCAGACGCATGCTAATTATGCATTGTGGACACATGAAGACTACATGATAAAAAATACCATATTAGATAGCTTCTCTAACTTTCTTTATAATGTATATTGTAAAATAAAAAGTGCGGAAGGGTTGTGGGATGCCCTTGAGAAAAAAATATAAATCCGAAACTACCGGGTCCAAAATGTTTGTTGTGGCCCGGTTTATAGGACTATAAAATGGTAGATGACAAGTCTGTCGTCGAACAAGTGAAAGAACTTCAACACATTGTCCACTATGTTATCGACGAGGAGATGCCAGTGCCAGAAAAGTTCATCAATAGAGTGATGATCGAGAAATTGCCCCAGAGTTGGAGCAACTTTAAGCACAATCTGAAGCATAAGCTAAAGCAAGTGGGGCTTGAAGATATGATTGTCCAAATCCGGATAGAAGAGGACAACAGAAAGCATCATAAGGCTAAAGATAGAGATATTTCTAAAGCCAACTTGGTCAGACATCTCTCCAATATACGTGCCCGCCCAACTCAAATGGACAAGGGCAAGGCTAAACAGTCTAAATTTACAAATAACCGTTTTAATTATGGTAAAACATGACACCATGTTAAGGACTGAAAGACACCAAAAAAAGAAGAAGCTGAGTTCCTAACTGGTTGAGATGAGCCTCCAGACTGATCATGATCTCAATAATGACGACCTTGTCATTGTTGTGTACGAAACAAATAATGTGGAAAGTTCGAAAGCCTGGTATGTTGACACCGGAGCAACCTGCCATGTTTCTTCGACAAAACAAACTTCTCAACCTAGAAGGATACAAAAGG